TTATAAAACAAAAAAATTGTTTTTCAAAGTAAAACCAATTATTTAAATATTTATTTCAAGTTAATATTTAAATATTAATTAATAAATTCGAGTTAATATTTGATGAATTTTTTTAGTTTCACTCTTAAACTTATATTTAAAAAATGTTATTTCTTAAAATAAAAAGTTATATTTAATATTTTATAGCATAAATAAATAAACAAATATCTGGAATATTTTTTACATACAAACGCTTATACGCACGAACAAACGTCACACGTTTTATTTTGTCCCCCTTCCAATGTTATTTAATTTCAACTTTATCTTCCATGTGGTAATAATTTCGATTACTTCAATCGGCGCTGCGCTCACACTTTCCCTTGCTTATCACATATTATTCGAAAATAACATGTTTTTCTCATTTCAATCTTCGCATTGATTGATTCGCCCTGGGAACAACATCAGCAGACGCAGCATCACTCTCCAATGACGCTTACCAATAACAGGCGGCTGTTATTGCAGTGGCTGTTGCTAGTGCTGATATTTTTCCTTTAGCTCATTTACTTAGGAAATATCAGTCAGCAAGTTACTAGGCACGATGTATATATTTAGCGCATGGGGTTGGGGGTTGCATCGGATGGGGCTTATCAGCGCAAGACAACAATCGATCCCCCTGGGTGTTTATTGACGTCACGATTCGGGCCGAACTCTTGCGATGCAATTAGTAATCATGCTCAACAATTTCGTCAGGCTGGAAAAACACTCGGACTAAAAATAAAATCCAATTATTTTCGAAACTATATTCCGTTAAGCTTCCATCTCAATTTTACGGTAGCTTTTTAATTCTGCATTCTCTTATACTTATGAGAGCTTTCATGCGCAAAACTTTTAAGTCCCGCCTTTACCCTCTGCTGATATCTCACATGCTTTTGCTTTTGGTATACTGGATAAAAGCTTGCCAGCTTGTCGTCAAGTAAACACAGCACGTGTGTGCGATCGTGATTTTTGCTGATGCAGAGCAGTTCATTAAGAACATAGGAACCGATCGGTTTGAATTTTCCAAATTGGGTGTGGAAAATTAGTGCACAACTTGACGAAAATCAGGTATAGTGTATATTTGTAAAAAATTTGTGTTTGCATGCGCATATACAAATTAAATGTCGAGACCTGTCTGCCAGACAGTTTACATGATTTGTTATTATGCATCGCCAATAGTGAATCAAAATAAAAACAAAGTGCAGCCAACTGATAACGTCAGCTATCACCCCCACAGTCAGCAAAACAACGGCTCTGTCTATTAAATATAGCGAAAAGGGTCAATTATCAATACACGTGCTATTATTTCCACATAGAAAATTAAAATTAAATCAATGCAAATTAAGTTTTACTTTTCTTTTGTCAAGACACAAGTTCTGAAGCCTACACATTTTTCTTAGTTTTGTTGGTGTGTGTTTAAGTAAGCAAATACATGCATACATACATATGTATGTAGGTATGCGTGCCTCTGTGTGTGTCTGGTGAGCAGCACGTTATTCGGTTTTTATCGGTTCTGTTAGCTTTTTCGGTTTTGTTGTGGTACTTTTTTTTTTTTTTTTTTTGCAAAAAAAATACAAATTTTACCGTAAGGAAATATGTACATGTCAGTTATTTAGGTAAACCTATGAGAGTACAGCACATTTTCTACGTTTTCACGATATAAGAGTAGAAATCGTCTATGTACTTCATATATAGGAAAATTTAATTACTGTTGCTGTGAAAAATGTCGAAAATATTAGTCAGGGCATTTGTGGCCACAGTACGTATCCCAAAGACACATTATGTGCAGTCGGCAATGCGAGTGCACGAAATTTCTTGGAAATTGCATGAGCGAAACAAAAAAAATGTGTAAGTGTATCCGAATACTGTTCTGTTGCTACGCACACATACATATGTATATATACAAAAATATATATGTTTTTTAAATATATTTTTGGTAAGGCCTAATAGAAAGTAATTGTTTTCTAATTCACAAAATAAAATATCTGCACGTGCCCTTGAAAAACAGCTGTTGCAAATGGAGCGTTGCCACTACTCATTGCTTGTGATAAATCTGGCAACGCGTATCTAAGTTGAATTAGATATTTAAAATCAGGTTTTTTTCCTAGTTAGTTATCGTGGTGAAATGGCATGCGTTTATAATGTGTATAAGGTTAATTTGTACTTGTTTTAGAATCGTATACTATAAAAGCTTTACGCAAAGAGCTTAAACCTGTTATCAACAGTGTCGTTTAATGTATGTCGTGAATGTGATTCGTTGTTTTCGTGCGCTCATTTCAACACGTACAGTGGAGAGTTAACGTTCGACGAGCCAGGCACGGTCGTGTGAGATACACCCATACAGTACCTGTGTTTATAGTATATCTGCGTACATATGCATACACAAATATGTACATATGTATATGTATATATAGATATTGAATCGCTGTATAATAAACAATTTGTAAGCACTACAAATTCTACGAACAACGCAGTCGCTGCTGTTGCAAACAAAATCACACTGCGATCAGAATAACCCATGACTCATTCTGACGTGGCTGCGCAGCTAGCTGATAAATACATATTATTGCCAGTCGGGCAACATCGGGGAAGTACCTTTTACGAATAAAAGCTGTGCTCGCACGAACGGCAATACGATTGTCTCATTTTCGTTTTGGATGAGCAGTGAAACGGTCGGAAAGCCTACAAGCGTAGAACTACGACGTAAAAACGAACGCGAATTAAAACAAATTACATGAAGTGAGCGATACGCGCTCACGTGGATAATAATACAACACCACAAGCAGCAGGAACAGTAATAATAACAACAGCAAAAATGAATCAACAGCAATTCTTTGATCTGGATCAGGGAAAGAATATATCCTACATGAATGATTGCTCCAGTACAAGTGGATATAGCAGCGCGAATTCGCCCATATCTATGACACAGTCACCATCACATTCGCCAGAGACATTTGCTTTGCAAAATGAATTTGCCAACCTTAATTTGCCCGCAATGTCGAATTCACCTTCACCACAGCTACAGCAATTACGCGGCTCACCATACCAGCAGCCACTCATAGTAAATCAGCTGCTCCCAAGTGGCAACCTCTGCATGGAAATTGATGGCGGCAGCAACAATATATTAAATGGAAACACAAATTTTGGGAATATGTACATGCCCATGGATCATTTCTATGCAACGCCACAAAATGTGGGATATGCGGCAAACGATGGTGGCGTTAAACAAGAATATACTGCTGTGCTGCACATTGCCGAACAGCCGGTGGAAAAATTTCGATTTCGCTACAAAAGCGAAATGCATGGAACACATGGCTCGCTTAATGGCATTAATTCGAAACGGACACCAAAAACATTTCCAGAGGTAATATTACGCAATTACAATGGACCAGCTGTCATCCGTTGCAGCCTATTCCAAACGAATTTGGACAGTCCACATTCGCATCAGTTGGTGGTGCGCAAGGATGAGCGCGATGTATGTGATCCACATGATTTGCGTGTCTCGCAGGAGCGTGGATATGTGGCCCAGTTCATCAATATGGGTATCATACACACGGCCAAAAAATTCATATTCGACGAGCTGCTGAAGAAGAAAAAGGATCGTCTGGTCTTCAAAATGGGTCGCCGGGAACTGTCTACCAAGCAGGTGCAGGAGTTGCATCAAGAAACAGAGCGTGAGGCCAAGGATATGAACCTGAATCAGGTAAGTCAACGACTTGTATTATTCAAGGAAGTGTACTCAACGCTGGTTGCATTTTAGGTGCGCCTGTGCTTCGAAGCCTTCAAGATTGAGGATAATCAAACCTGGACGCCTATTGCGGCGCCCGTCTATAGCAATCCGATTAACAATCGCAAGTCCGCACAAACGGGCGAGCTACGCATCACTCGCCTCAGCAAACCCACTGGCAGCGTCATGGGCAACGATGAGCTTATTTTGCTCGTGGAAAAGGTTAGCAAGAAGAATATCAAAGTGCGCTTCTTTGAGGAGAACGATGATGGTGAAACAGTTTGGGAGGCATATGCTAAATTCCGTGAGTCGGATGTTCATCATCAGTATGCGATTGTCTGCCAGACGCCGCCCTACAAGGACAAGGATGTGGAACGCGAAGTGGGTGTCTCCATTGAGCTGATACGTCCCTCCGACGATGAGCGCTCTTTTCCGCCATTGCCTTTCCGTTATAAGCCACGTGATGCGATCGTTTCACGCAAACGCCGACGCACCTGCTCCACACTTACCAGCAGCAGCAGCGGCAGCAGCAGTGGCAGCCTAAACAACTCAGTCGAGCTGCCCAAGACGGTGCCGCAGCAGGGCGTGGCCAACGTGTCACAGCATGATCAGACAATTAGTCAGGAGTTCGGTCGAGAATTTCATTTAGAACAACTAATAAATCCGGAATCGTTTCGCAAGATACTCGAACAGGACTCCGCAGAGCTGGAGAAGCTCTGTGTCACCGATATTGGCGTACTCGAAACAGATGGTCAACAGCAATCGGAAAGTGCAGATCGCACGCACGGCAGCCGATATAATCGCAATCTGACCAGCACCTATCTGGGTGAAATCTTTAAGATATTCGATACGGCCAGACGCGCTGTCGATAATAAGGAACTATATCAATCCTCCTGCAAGAAAGTGGAAAATCTCTTCACAGATCATGCGCAGAAGAACGTGAATAACGACACACTGCTGCACGAGGTGATTAGCCAACGCAAGGATAATCTGAAGCTGGCCATTAAGACGTTCCAGGTGATTGATTACTTCAAGTTGCGCGAGCTGGCACATACGGCACAAAATGCGGATGGAGATAGCTGCTTACATGTAGCCTGCCAGCAGGACCGAGAGCATTACATACGCCCATTGCTGGGACTGGGCTGTAGTCCAAATCAACAAAACCTGACGGGCAACACGCCTTTGCATTTGGCTGTCAAAGAGGATCGCAACAATTGCATTAAGCTATTCCTAGATGCGCCTGGCGCCAAATTGGATTTGTCACTGACGAACGATGATGGCTTGACACCGCTGCACATGGCCATCAGGCAAAACAAATATGATGTAGCCAAGAATCTTATCAACTATGATCGCAACTCCATCAATGTGGCCAACACAACTGACGGCAATAACGCACTGCACATGGCTGTGCTTGAGCAGAATGTGGAGCTGATCGTTTTAATATTGGATGCAGAGAATCGAATGGATATATTAATGAGCAGAAACTCGGCTGGTTTAACCCCATTGCAGTTGGCACGTGCCAAGGCGAATGATCGTTGTGTTCGGCTGCTGGAGGAAGTGTATCCGGACAAGGGAGAATGCGCCATGACATGGATACCACTGAATATTAAAGAGGAAATGGACTCCTCATCTGCCGAAGATGATGAGGAAAGCAATTCCGAAGTACCAGCCCAATCGATCAAAACCGAAGAAATTGAAATGGAGTTCAAGACGGAGTGCGCGGATGAGGACAGTACCATGGATGACAGCGACGTTGAACAGCAATTGGAGCAATTGCTGAGTAGCAAACCCAGGTTTGACAAACTGGTGGCCCAGCTGAATGAGCCGACGGCCGACAATGCCAATTTGCCCAAATGGAAAGAGATTGCCGACAAGTCCGACTTGAAAGAGTTCACCTGGCTCTGGTCAAGCTCAGAGGGTATGCTCAACTATATACAACACAAGTCGGGCGACAAACAGTACAAACAGTTTGCACTTGCACTCCAGGAGCTGGGTATGCTCAGTGCTTCCAATTAATTATATACTTACATTTATATAAATTATTAAGCAAAGTTTTTTATAGAAATATATCTATATATACACCTACATTTATATTTATTAAGTTTAACAAGAATTTTTGCTGTATTACATAATAGATTGTTCAATAAATGTTTACATTCATCGCATCTAAAAAGGGAAAAATCCCCAACACGCCTTGCAGTAAAAATATTGTATGTATGTGAATCACCAAGCGAGCTACAGAGATGAGTGTGTGCTAGGGGAATTACCGGTCAATCGCTCTGTGTGTACTTCCCCGTTAGTTGTAAACATTTTGTGGTCTTGTATAATACTTATAGGTTTCAATTGAGAGGACTCTAGGTCAGATAGCCCGACTTGGAGATAGCCTGAGAAGAGCTGTTATTCTCGATAATGAGGATTATATAAACATAATGAGGATTATATATACATACATATGTATGTATACAAATTTCAAACCCTTAGTGGCTTTTGCAATTTCTGCATTCATATAGACAGACAGTTTAGGTCGTTGTCCTGTTATATAAACGGACGTACAGTGACCCGCAGTGCATTAATCACATCTCATTAGATAAACCTTAGACTGAATTATGAATTCAATACGCGTGCGAATCAAGAAGATTACAATATGCAGGGGTATATGTATGTATGTGTATTTTTGTTTATGTGAAGAACTTCCTCTTACGCGTTATGAATCTATTCCAATTCTATAAATCGCCTTTGGACTATCTTATCTAATCCATTTCCTTTAGAGTTCTATAAATCATATGATACATATCTTTTCGAATAAATTTATTTCCATCTTCATTCACTTTGCAGCAACATGGCTCAAATCATCGATGGCAAGAATATGGCTAACCAAATACACAGCGAATTGTGTAAGGAGCTGAGTCAGTTTGTGGCCGAAGGTAATCCTGTGCCCCACCTGACTGCCATCATTGTGGGCGAAGATCCCGCCAGCCAGAAATACGTGGAAAAGAAGACAGAGGCGTGCAAGGAAATCGGCATTCGCAGCCGCACAATTGTGTTGCCCGAGTCAACGACACAAGCGGAGCTGCTGGATGTGATCGACCAGCAGAACAAGGATGAGAGTGTGAATGGTGTATTGGTGCAGCTACCTGTGCCGGCGCACATTGATGAGCGGACCGTGTGCAATGCCATAATTGCTGCCAAGGACGTGGACGGGTTCAATGAGATTAACATTGGTCGTCTGGCTCTGGACATGAATGGTATTGTGCCGGCCACGCCACTCGGTGTGAAGACTTTGCTCGAGCGCGCCAATATACCAACATATGGACGGAATGCTGTTGTGGTCGGCCGCTCCAAAAATGTGGGTCTGCCCTTATCCATATTGTTGCACTCGGATGGCAGCCACGCAACCAAGGGCCTGGATGCCACGGTCACCATTTGTCATCGCTATACGCCAGCCAAGGAGCTGGCAAAATATTGCCGCCAAGCTGATATTATTGTGGTGGCCGTGGGTAAGCCGGGTTTGATAACCAAGGATATGGTCAAGCCAGGTGCTTGTGTCATTGATGTGGGCATCACCCGAATCCAAGATGAGACAGGCAAATATAAGCTTGTTGGCGACGTAGACTTCGATGGTGAGTAAATGATGCAATCGACCCAATATTCTATGCAAATTGACAATAATTTTGATTTACAGAAGTGCGTCAGGTGGCTGGACATATTACCCCAGTGCCTGGAGGTGTTGGCCCCATGACAGTTGCCATGCTGATGCAAAACACTATCCTGGCGGCCAAGAAACAGGCCGCAGATCGAGCCAACTGAAATTGATATACCCTCCAGAATTTTACAACGAATTTACGATTTAATTTCTGCTGCCAGCAGCGGGCCATAGTATTTTGTTATTTAAAGCACTAATAGACTAATAAGCCACACTAACAACCATATACGTAAAACTTAAATAAACTACAAAAAAATATGCCTAAAATATAAAAACAGCGTTTCCTTGATACTGCGACATTTTTTCAAGGAGCTCGGTAGCGTTGCCATACAGGTAAATGAAAACGCAAACGCAACTGCCAGGGCGCGCAGCAAACAGGCATCAAAATGATCAAAGTATAAAAATATATTATCGCGTTTGTGTTTCTGTAATTCTGTTCTAGCTATTATGTTAAAACAAAAAACCTAGTTTATCACTCACCTTCGAGAATCTCAGTAGAACTGTCATAATCTTTGAATTTCTGCGAATTAAAGCCGCTCACAGGACGAAGTGTATCAACGAATCAGGTAGTAATTAGTCATATATATTATAGAAAATATATATATATA